TCTGGTTAATGAGATATTTAAGTAGTTACAAATAAACAGTCACTTACCACTTATTCACAACTCTTATTGTGAGTAAAAGGCCTTTTAATAGCTCTCTCCTTGCTTTTTCTCAGACTAAATATTTCTGATGTTTGAGATTCACAGTAAGCAAAACAAAGTTAAATTTGCAACAAGGCCCTCCCTGGTGGCGCAGTGGGTTAAAGCACAGCACTAAGAAGCTTAAGCCACTTACGCATGAGTTCAATTCCACCTGCCAAGGAGGAGATCCACATGGTGTGGCAGACCTCTCCTGACCTGCCCACTGCTCCCCTCAGCAGTGTACTTCCTTGATCTGCCTGTTCTGCTCCCCTCTCTGTCTCTGGTGAATCCTCTCACCCTCCGCATCTCTGGCTTGTACCCCAGTTCTATATGCATAAATAAATAAATCTTTATTAAAAAAATTTGTAACGAGTTTAAAAAGAAAGTGTTGATACAGAATAGAAGTTTTAGAAACTTTCAATCAGATCTTCTCTTCTATACATGGGAACCATAGACCATTAGGACTTTGATTCAACCCCAAATGAAACCACTGTAAAAGAAGAGAGTCAAAAGACCAATAGAAATATCAGAAAATGTTCTTCACCATTTTGGGTTTACCTCGGGTGACTAAAAAGGAGGAGACAGCAAAAGTTCAGACACTTAAGAGATGCAATGAGAAATGTTTCCGCCAATGCATTTCTATCAAAAAGCCTCAGATCAATACTATGAAAGAGGAGTAGGATCACAAGGCAGTTAAAAATAGGCACTATTTGATGATCAAGCATAATTTTGCACACAAAGAACAAGTCCAAAATATCACCACTAGAAAGTACTTCTGAAGTTCTGACTGACTTTCAAAATGGTTAAAATATGTATAAAAAATATGGGCCCTCCCTGGTGGCACAGCGGGTTAAAGCACAGCACTAAGAAGTTAAAGCCACCTCAGCATGAGTTCAATTCCCGCTCCCAGAGGTGACCAACATGGCACAGCAGACCTCTGCTGACACAGCCGCTGCTCCCCTCAGCAGTGTACTTCGTCAGTCTGCCTGTTCTACTCCCCAATCTGTCTCTGGTGAATCCTCTCACCACCCCTGTGCTTCTAGCCTGTACCCCAGTTCTGTATGCATAAATAAATAAATCTTTTTTAAAAAATGTCTAAAAAATAAAGCCTTCAAAAAGATACCCGCACCCCCATGTTTATTGCTGCTTTATTTGTAATTGTAAAGACATGGAAACAACCCAAATGCCCAAAAGTAGATAACTGGATTAAAAAGATGTGGTACATATACACAATGGAATATTACTCAACCAAAAAAAAAATAAACACATGCCTTTTGCAGCAACATGGATGGAGCTGGAAAAGATCATGCTTAGTGAAATAAGCCAGAAACAAAGGGAAAAATACCAAATGATTTCACTCATAGCAGGAGTATAAAGTATAAAGGGAAAAAAATAATAATTATGAACAACTATATACCAGAAACATTTTTATGGGGTAGAGTGGGGAATGGGATCAAAAACAGTGGGGGGAGGGAAGTGCACTGGACTGTGGTAATGGCACACAGGTGATTTAGTGATGGGAAGTCCACGGGATTACAAATGACTGGAAAAAGGCACATGATGATGTAAAGATAAACATTATATTATTTTTTTAAAAGCCATAAAAAACTTAATGATTTGGAAACAACGAAGTAAACCTGCTATATAAAGTTAACATTGATGCTTATGAAAGATCCCACACACTTGAAAATGAAAGACAGCTGAGCAGCAATCATGCAGTGATACAGCTATGAAATGCAATGCTAGAATTCGAAAGTGCCTTCCTTTGATAACCAAGTCCAGACACCTATGGGCTCTGATAAGTGGTGAGTTCTGCCTCCATGTACCTTTCTCAGATTCTAGAGAATGCCAAAGACTTGAGGTAACTCTGCATCTAGGTTCATATTAAAGAATATAGCAAGGAAACTTCAAAAGCACAGAGGGCTGTTTTGTCACAAAATTAGTATATTCCACAAGAAAAGGAAAATGCATTTTGAAACTGGATAATAAAGGCCTCAAGAAAGCCAAAGTAAATTATCATCTTGGTGAGCTGAATGCTAATGAGATAGAAAGGCATGTGGAAATATTTCATTTAAATGAAATCTTTAAATTTCATTTAAATACTACAGCCTGACTGTAGTATTGCTTCCAGTACTATTCATTTCCAGGCACATTAACTGATCAGAATGTAAGTGTTTTTAGAATCTCAAGGAATCCCTTGTCTTGGGGTTTCACCCACCTAACAGGTGCTTCACTGTTGGCAAAAGACATGGAATTATTTTCACAGCCTACTAGGAAACACATGCCAGCAATGTACTTTATTTTTCAAATCAGTGATCCACCACTTTCAGGCATTTCAAACACTTCTATGGTAACAAACACACTCATGGAAATGTGGCTTCAAGTTCTACAGCAAGATCAGACAGATGAATTGTAACATTATTTTGGAGGGAAGCAAGACAGAAGATTTGCAAGTATCCTTTTAAAGTTACCTTCCTTGACAATTATTACAAGAAACACTGGGCTTTAAAAAAATTTACTGAAAAAGAGAAAATACATAACATCTACATTCATGGTTGAGGGGGACAATGCTTTCTTTTTCCAGAAAAAAAAGGTTTATTTCGGCCCATTTTAATTGACTTTGGAGGTTTTTTTTAAAAGTTAATTCTTCACCTTAAAAAAAAATTAAAATCATTGGTTATTTAGGACACTGATACTAATGTATCCAGAAGCAAACTAAAAAAAAAAAACAAACAAAACCTTACAATATATATGTAAAGTTGTACCCACATCACAAGACTAGCAAACCACCACACACATACATATTTATTGAAAGAATGAACGAAGAGATGAATATATTTAGGTCTGTAATGCTACTATTTCTCCAGTTTTATTAAGCCAAACTGCTAACCTCATTAGTTTTCACATCAATACCATCTAAAGAGAAGAAAGATGACTGGCATTAAAAACAAATTATAATTTTACAATTTAGGATCTCTATCCTATCTATTAAGAAGGTGACAGCACTTAAGAGTTTCCCAGGGACATTGAAGGAAATTTTTCTTATAGTGTAAATTATAAAGTATCTCACTAGCATATGGCTAAGTTTATATGATCATCTGAGGAGAATAATTCAGTTTCATAAAAAATGCAAATTTAACAGTAGTGCATTAACTCATGCCAACCATACTCTCCCGACAATCACCAGGACTTCCCACATGAAATCAATATGCATACATGTATTTAACTTTTATCACTGGCTCACTAAGTAAATATCACACTCTAGACCACTTAGGTATTCATTATTCACAGGCAAATAGCAAATGTATAAAGCTGGCTGGTAGTGTCAAGTCGTTAACAAATCAATCGATAACTGTTTCCCTGTTTCAGTCTAGCAAATGAGGGCAAAGATGTGTAACATCTGGTGAGCAAACCATTAACCTGCTGCCCAGGTGCAATCTGTTTACAGCTGAGGGTATCATATTTACGCTGACTCTGAGACAACCTCTCAAGGAAACCTGAAGTTGTACTATGTTTTCTCAGGCTTTAATAAGCTTTAAAACAGATCCTCACGTGGATACTATCCCACAGGCTAGTGATGAGATCAACCAGGAATATAGTGGGAAATGCTCCTCTTTGGGTTCCCTGGAGTTAAGATTGAGGCAAAAGCAAAAAACATTTGCGAGTATTACAAGGTGAAGAGCAAATGGGTTAATCCTCAAAAGCTCCTGTTTCTGCTGTTCTTAAAACAAGTTTTCTAGCATGTTTTTTAGGGAACAAATGTTTTCACAAGCAGCTAAGCTCCCGAAGTGACCACGAGTGGTTCAAGTTTTTCAAAAGACTCACATTTTTCTCTTTCTGAACCCTGTGAAAGGCCACATTTGTGACACTATACCCCTGATACTATCTGCATCTGTGCATTAATTTCAATGTGATCGCTTGTCCTCACAGAGAGCTGACGTATTGTACTGTGGCTAAGGTCACTTACCCAACTTGTCAGCTAGGAGACAGTGAAATGAAATGAAGTAAAGGAAATTCAGGCACTGGAAAGAAGTTAGTTTCACGATGCTTCCTCAATTTACATCCCATCATACAAACCACTGTCTGTGACATGTCAGCAGTGACTGCAACGGAACTCAAAAACATACTGCCCATCAAGTTCCTGCTCTTTTGTTCTAAAAATTACAGCAAGACTAACCCAAAGTTATTTAAACAATGTCCTTAATTACAGTTAGAATCGACAGCACTATCAGTTTGTGACAGATCAAACATCCATTCCATTAACAACAAGAAGGGAAAAAAAGACTCCCTCTTCAATGTTTCCTCCTCTCTGTGATGTGATCTATGGGGAAACAGGACTTTGGTTGTTAAGCACAGACGTAACCATCAGCGCACATGCACACTGGAAGCAGTCGTGCTGGGTTTTAAATGAACCTGCACTGTATTTACTTATCCTACTGTCTTCTTCCCTGGGTGAAGGTTTAATTAATACTTCACCCCAGAAACAATCTACACACACACACACACACACACACACAAGCCAACTTTATTGAAAATGTATACTAGCAATCTGCTCTTCCTGCGGGTGGCAGTTTTCTTACTGCCTTTCCCTTCTCCTGGGTGGAAATCTCAGTCCCTTCCCTACTGAAGAATGGAGAGTCCATATAATGCTCCACAAAGAACAAGAGCCAGAAGACACCCTCTTATTTCTCTCTCCTTCTAAGAGGCTTAAGGCACACCTTCCTTCCAGGACACAAGTCCTCGCCACCCGAGCACACTGCAGTGTGCCATGCCCACTAGGTTTGTTTCCATTTATCAGGTTAAAGGCTTAGGGCACACACAGCCAGGATGTCAGAAATAAGTCGTAACCCTGTGGCTTGCCCCTCCCCCAGCCCGCCAAAAACCTCACCCACTTCCCACAGTCTACTCTCTCCCCACCTTACCCTGCCCAAAAGGTTGTCCTGAAGCAATGTTTCTTGCAGCACTGGGGCCACCTCCTCCAAGCTCAACATGTGGCAAAGGTCGGTGAGTTCCTCCTGGCCCAGGGACCCGGTTCCCGTTGTGTCAAAACTGTCAAACAGCTCCTTGAGTCGGGCCTCATGCTGGTCCTGCTCCACCTCATCCATCCCATAGCCCACAGCGAGCTCTCACCTGTGCAGGACAGAGACAAGGACAGGTTGTGACAGGCCCTAGAATCCTACCCCGTCCCTGCCAGTCTCAGGGATGCTGTGTGATTTCCGGTTCTCTTGAGCTGGTGGGTCTGGAAGGTCAGCAGAAGTAACAGTATCCCCAACCTCCTTCTCTCCAGCAAGAGCCCCAATCTTCAATCTCTCCAGGACCCAGGGATGGCCAACAGAACCCCCATATGCACTCACCAGGGGAGCACCCACAAAGTCAGGTCACGGCAGGGCAATGTTACCAGAATGAGGGCACTCTCCCTTGTAAACATAAAGGCACTCTTTTCTTTTGCCTGGCCCTCAGGTGGGCAGCCAGTCGGGAAAATTCTAGACTCATTTGGCCCAGATTTACAGAAAGTGAAAGTGCTTCTGATAGTCCTTTCATCGAACTGTTACTACCAATACACTGCAGTTGCTAGAGCACCAGACCAGCGCAGATGTTGCAATCTACAGGCGTGGCTGAGCTGCTTAACTTCTTTTTCTTCAGTCCAGATGCCAGCATGATAGTTAGACAGGAGGGCTACAGCAATAGGCATGATGAAAGTACCTGACATACAACAACTCCCTTTTACTACAAGTATTACCCAGTGCTTTTTACACGAGTTCCTCAAAAAGCAGTTCAATTAACTTCATCTGTGCATTTACACCAGGTGTGACAAGGACGAGTATTCCCTGGAGCTCAAGTTAATCCCAGATAGTTCTAGGTAATGCTTAGTTGCCTAGAGATAGGGGAAACACAACTCCAACCTTTCTGATGGTGAGACCTTACAAGTCTTACAGATCGCAGGGAAGCGCCACTATTACGACATCTCACGTGCTTATGCCTTGTCACTCCGTCTTCCACCTCTCTGACTCATGTAGGCACAGCTCCTCCAATTTTCACCCTCCATGGGATCAATAAAAATGTGGAGTCATCAGTAACTCTCAATCATTTTTGCTTAAAATAAGCATCACACAATTCTAGGTACCTCATTTAAGAATCAAATTTGCTTTTTCTCCCTTACTCACACAATAGATCACTTTTCATGTGTCAGGACTTCCAATGAAAGACAGAAACTGTGCCACTGAAATTTTTACTGTGACGCAATGGAAGCCAAACACAATGCATACCCTTGGGAGGGTGACCTCAGCCATCTGAAACAAGTCTCTTGACTATAAAAAGCAGCACTTAAAAAAATTAAAAAATTTTCTCTTTCCAGTATAATTTTATGACAAATACAACATAAAATTTACCTTGTCAGCAAATGCTGAAGTGTGCAGAACAGTACTGCTCACTATATGTGCATTGTGGTCAAGCTGCCCTCTTGACCCTTATCTGGCACAGGTGAAACTCTATACCCACAGCACAGAAACTCCCCATTTCCCCTGCCACCAGCCCCTGGCAACCACCATTCTAGTTTTAAAAGCAGCACCTTTTAAGTAAACCAAAGTCAAGGTCAGGAAACTCTTCGAGGTGATGTTCACAGGACTGTGCTAGCACAGTTAGTATGCAAGGTAAGATGGTAAATGCAGGCAGAACTGAAAACAGTGTCACTCCAGGCTGTGCAGCTTTCTTTTCAGAGACAATGTTCAAAATATGACAAGCTAGCACAGAGCCACAACCACCCCAGGGGACACAGAGCAACCAGGAAGACTCAGAAGATGGATGCTGATGACATTGCTGGATCATGAAAGCAAACTGGCATCATTTTGGTTCGGCTCCTTGTCTTGGAAGGTCCCGTCTCCTAATTATCAGTTTTTCTATTACTAAGGTGCTATTGACTCTGGCTGCCTTCCCAGGCTTGGTCTGTTGGGTTAACAAATCATCATGTGAATGTTTTTAAAATGAGTTGAGAGTGCTACATAAACATCTAAGCATCAGAAAGGAAACACCAAGGTGTTAAGCAAAGCCACAAAAGTTAGAAAATTAGACAAAGCCACAGTTTGGCTAATGAGGTTCATTCAGCGTCCACCCATTAATCATCGACTAAGAAGCTCTGAGAATCCCCAAGATGCTGTGCGATTTTTAGGGTTGCCATAGCTCAAGATTCTGAGTTTTACAGTCCCCAGGCTTCAATGTGGGCAGCTTCACAACAGCCAGACTATTCTGCTTTTGCTTGATTTTATAAACATTTTTGAAAACTTAAAAGTGAAACAATTGGATCCTTTTAAAAATTATTTTTAAAGATTGGGAATTTGTCTACCAATAAAAGAGGACCATAAAGCAATGTACTGAGCAGTCCTGATCTTACCCACAGCTTTGAGTAATAAATGACCATGTTCTGTTCTTTAAAGACATCGTTGAATTTTCACTAAATCAAACTTCTTTCATTTTAGAGCAGCTTTCCTTTTTCATAACTTTATTTCATCTCCCTCCTTCCAGAGGATTTGTAAATAAATTTATTTATTTATACAAGAGCTGGGGTGTAGGCCAGAAGTGGGGCGGGGGGCGGGCAGTGAGAGGATTCACCAAAGACAGAGTGGGGAACAGAACAAGCAGACTGACTGAAATATACTGCAGAGGGGAGCAGTGGGTGACACAGGAGGTCTGCTGCAGATAGCTAGTGCTAAGATTTAACCCCCTGTGCCACCAGGGAGGCCTACAAAAACATTCTTTTGACTGAAAGAGGAAAACAGCCCCACTCCTGTGGAACAAATGATCATACAGAAACATCCAAAAGATGTTACATATGGCAACAAGTTGTCAGGACTCTTTTGGCACAGAATCCATTTTTACTGGTTGATGTTATTCCCAAATGTTCATCAGTAATTTCAAGTGCAAGAATTATTTTCTCACCATGTGGCAGAAATTTATTTAAGAACAAGAGCCACAACTTCAACCACTTTTATAGATTTCTCCAAATGCACAGAAGAGCTTATTTGTCACACCAGGGACTCAGTAGACTTCAGGAACCGACTTTCAGTCTAGGTGGATGTCTTGAGTGAAAAACTTAACTTGAATGAAAACTAGAGGAATAAGCACATGAAAACTTTGATATATCTACCTCTGCAGAAACATCTTTACTTCCTGCATTCAACCCTTCTTCAAAGGCATTTTCAGTCTTAGATTAGATATAAGCAAGCAGAAGTAAAAAGTCAGTATCCACTGCCAAAGCTGGTTCAAGGAGTTAGCCAGAGGCCAGTAAATTCCCAAACTTCAGCTGAAATTTTTTTTTCTTTTTTCTTGTCATGGGATGTGACTTTCCCAAAAGTTCCCCTCATTTATAGAATGAGACTAATACCCATGTAGCTGTTCTGAAGTTAGTTAAATATGACAATCAAGCCTGCTACCCAGAGAAAGTAGATAAAGAGGGGAATTAAGAAAACAAAACAAAACAGACCTGTTATTTACAAAGGAAAGATAAGCTGTAGAGGGTTAATTTATACAAGTCAATCAGCTATGGATCTGCCTGTAAAGAAGCAGAACAAAAACTGTGGAATGTCACAACATGAGCAAGAATAAACCGGGACATGTTCTATTATGTTAATGGTAAAAGCAGCAGGTAATGCTTGGTGCTTCCTCAATCTTTAATGGCAGGTTATTAATAAACATAATATTAAGCAAAAGCAGAAAGGCTGAAATATAGCGGGAGGTTCAGAAGGATTTATTTATTTATTTATGCATACAGAACTGCCATACAGGGCAGAGGTGCCAGGGACAGTAAGAAGATTCATCAGAGATAGAACTGGGAGCAGGACAGGCAGATCGACAGAGTACACTGCTGAGGGGATCAGCAGGCAGGTAAGGAGAGGTCTGCCGCACCATGAGGGTCACTTCCAGGGTTGGGGATCGAACTCACATTGAAGGGGCCGCAACTAGCTTG